ACAAAATACCTGACACCCAAAGTTAAAGGAGAAAAGTTTTATTGCTCTGTTTATAGGTTTCATTTCATAGACCACCTTAGAGACTCTACAAAGAGACAAAAAGATACTTAGTGTTTTTAAAATAACAGTATTGATTTACTAATCTCATTCAACTGTACGGACTAGGATCATACACCTGCATTATATATACTTTAATTTAACCACAAATGTTTTGAGAGTTTATATCAATAAGGATGACAAATTTACTAGTTTATATATGTTTTCCAATTTAAATATAACTCACACCTGCTAAATTTTAACACCTTCATTTTTGGCATTTTATAAAAAAGAAGCTAAACTTGAACATCAAGGAAGCCTTTCAACATTGAATACAGATAAAAGTTACTTATCACATTCCCTGAACATGGTAGCTTATGCAGTAACAGACCCATCCCCAAAGTATTAATTTTCAAGAAAGAAAATGAGACAGTTAAAGGGGGAAAGACTTGGAAGAGCAGAGAGAAGAAAGGCACCGCAACAGTACACGGACAGTAGCGGACTTTCACCACGTGTGACTTTTACTCTCTAACTTACCCCTTTTGGCATTTTCTGGGTTTTCATGTTTATTATATCCAAGACTGTTGACAAGCGAAGGGTGTCTGGATAAAAATGGCTCTGCTATTTCACATTTATTCATTGTCTCCTTTGGTAATTTCCAAACAAGTAAAAATTTTTTTTAATGCTCTAAAGAATGGCAGAATTTGATACAGATAACCAATAAAAAATCTTAAAGAGTTCACTACATCCCTATGAGTCTCAAAGGTTAGTAATGTCCTCTTGCATTACACACAGTCATAGTCAGCATTTGTAGCATTTAAAAACACTACTGTTGAGTTCTAAATGTATTCCTTGTTTTACAGTGGAATGAAACTAGCATGCAGTCATCCAGTCTCTTCACAAGTACTTTGATGAGCACCTACCATCAACCAGTGCATTAAGCACAAGCATAAAGATATAAGCATGGCTGTGAATAGCTTATATTCTAGAACAATTCATTATCTATTTAATGTCTGCTACATAAATATTGCTTATGTGAATCTAAAAGTGTTACAGAATCTAAAAGGGCTACCAATAGGAAATGGCACTAAAATATTTTTTTCCATAAAAACCTTACATTAATAAATTGAATTATTTTAAAAATTATAAATTCAGTTTATTATCTAATACTGGAATCCTGTGTAAGATGCCTTTAACAGGTATTCCTCTTCCCTACTGAAATGCTTGTTGGGACATTTTATGCAAAGAAAGGACAAACATGTATGCAAAGCTGAGCATGGTGGCACTTGCCTGTGATCCCAGCACTTAAGAGGCTGAGGAAGAGAATCACTGAGAGTTCAAGGTCAGGCCGAGCTACAAAATGAGTTCAAGGTCTGCCTGAACTGCATAGTGAAACTTTGCTTTAAAAAGATGAAATAGTATGCAAAGTAAGCATTATATTTATAATTCTAAAAATTCATTTTTATAAAAGCAGGCAACTATTCAAAAACATGTATCATAAATTTTAACACTACTGCATTTCCAATTTTGGTTACATTAACTAAAATACTTTTACAATTTTGTGGTGTCATGCCCCACAAACTCAGTCAAAACAATACATGACAACTAATTGCACAAACACATAAAAACTGCAATAAGCTAAGGTTGGTGGTGCTTGCCAAGTAGAGCCAAGGCTGGCCTGAACTGTATAGAGAGATCCTGTCTCAAAAAGACCAAACACACAAACACACACCCTCTTGATTCTATACTACATATTACACTTAGACTCTTAATAATTAACAAGAATGATGAATGTAAATATTATGTATAATAAACATACTATAAAAATAAAAATAAATTTTAAAATGGTTATTTCATTTAATCTTCGCAAAAATTCTGTGAACTAGTTTGTATTATTAAATTCATTTTTTAGACAAATAGGTCAAGTTACAGAGAATTAGATTAACTTTCCCAAGATTATAATGATGGTGGGATTCAAATCCAGATTATTTAGCTTTCGAGTCCACAGATTTAATCACTATACTACATCAAAAGAGAAAATAGAAAAATTACATAAAACATAAGTAAATCATAATTACCATTAACATAGCACTTACTTAGCATTTTTAAAATTTAGGTATTGTTCTAAGCAAGCAATGGTATGAAAAATTTATTTATTTCTCATCATAATACTATTGGGGAAGTATGATTATTATTTCTAAATTACAGAAGAAGAAACCAAGGCAGAGAGAAGTTAAGTACTTAACTCAAGGTCATGACACTAATAAGATTCAAGGCTAGGATACCGCTTTGATAGCCTGGCTCCCAGGTTTAGACTCTTTCCTTGATACCATAAACTGCTGCTATAGAAATGCCACAGAACCACCTAAGAGTCCTCGCGCTTCAGAACCTCTGGGGTTGGAAAGCACCACATTATTAAGCATAGAACCTTAACTAATGTCCATTAGTAAAATCAACAGTCATCAAGGACAGTTAGAAGGTTTTCATTCAGCCTTCTTAAGAAAGCAGAAAGGTAACACACTTAAGCAAAATTTCTTCCAAGATGAGTTTCTTTAAAAATGTTTTTCTGGAAAACAAACTCAATTCAAAACAAGTGAGGTTTTTTTTTTTTTAAATCCTTCTACAGAAATTGTTTTGTTCTTGCAGCCTTGGGGTTTTTCAGAATCCCTCAGGGGTTGTGGGTGGTTGGAGGAGGAGGAGAGAAGAGAGGACCCTGGTTCCCCACTATACTTTCAAATGAGTAGCTCTGTTTTTATTTTTTACATACTGGGTTTCCCCATAAAGTTTTTCTTTGAGGGGAGCCAAGCTCCCATGAGAATCTGGTCTCAGTAAGTATGTCTTCTCAAGGTTTTAAAGGCCTCCCGATCACTTTCCCAGCATCTCAAGAGTGATACTTCACAGTGTCTTTCCTTTTGTTGCTTTAATTTCATGCTGCCCTAAACCCTGGTCATCCTCTCACCTTCCTTTCTTTTTTCATCCCCTCTGTCAGTAATAGTCACCAGCACAGCTAATGTTTATTGGACTCCTATGTGGAAAGCTCTCGGCTAATTGTTTTTATGGAGTGTTCTCAACATCCCTGTAATTTATCTTCAATTACTGGTCTGTTTTATAGAGGAGAAAACCAAGGCTTCCCTGAGTACTTTCCAATGACAAGGCAACGGAGATAGGATCAAAAAGTATTCGGCCCATTTCAAGGCCTCTAGCCCTTCACTGACATGCTATCCTGCCTCTAACTAATGTCAAACCCAGTCTCTTAAAAACAAGGAAAGAAGTGCACCTTTTCTTCTGGAGTAACCTTTCTCTGCAGCTCCTCAGCACTGAGGAACTCAAGGCCCAGTTTTCAGTATAATACAGCTCTCACCCTGCTGCAAACACTTATAAAATGTTCTCATTCTTTCAGACAGGATCTACACTTAAGACCTTTTCTCGAGCAGGGGTACATCTCCCGCTTCTATATCCTTACTGTCTCCCCACCCCCAATTACTCGGAATAGTTTTGGGCACAGAGTAGGAGGATCTTCAATAACCAGTGTGAAGAGCTTTAAGCTCTACTTTTGGATACTTAAGTTCTACTTTTGGGTATTCCCTTAGAGAGGAGATGGCAAACATTTTAGAGCTTTCAGTGATATCAAACACCCTGCTATCGCACACATGCCAAAGGTTCACCCCCACCGGCCCAGAAATGTCACCTCCTCTTGATCTTCAAATTCCTCAATGGCTCACCTGTACATTATGAAGGCAGCTTTCTTAGACATCGGCGGCTTTTATCCTAGTGGGGGCAAGTTGGGCCACTCACAGACTGAGGTGAAAATTCTGGGAGGCTAATGTCTCCAGGAAAAAACTCTCAGTCAAGGAACATGAACAAAAGTTCCGGTTTCCTTGCCCCTTAAACACTCCAAAATATGCAGACTAGTTCCTTGGAATTCTCTTAAGGGACTGAGCTCCAGGTGCCTCCAGCAGTAATTCTCTTGAAATTGCTTCCTTTACTGACTTTTCCTCCTATTCCATTTCCTTACTTCCTTGATAACATGTCAGGGAAGAATCTCCCCCAGTAAACAACTTACTGTCAAATTCTTGTCCTGGGCTGAGTCTGGTGGGGTCACAGAGATTTCTCTTCCCTCCTTTTCATTCCACTCCTCCACCTACCAATGCAGAGCACTACCCTGAGGAGTTCCACTGTCTCTTCAGGCTCTACCATTGTACACTCTCAATGAAATCTACCAAATTTCAACATGGAACCAAAACCAATTCTACATGGTTACTTCTTAACCAAAATGCTGCAATATGTTTTGAAGCCAAATCTTAGTTTCACCTACTTTTAACAAAAGAGATGCTGGAAAGCAGTCTAGACCCCTCTTTCCAGAGGGGTCGCTGGTCATTGCATGAATGGCCCAGCTGCACAGACCCTCTTTGCCCAAGGTGCGAACGTACAGTGACGGAGGGAGGCTGCAGTCTAAAGGCTTAGCCATTTCAGCCACAGTCAAAACACTTCTGAAGAGCCACTCTAATCCAGGACTCCCTGGGAGCCTGGCACTGAATCTCAACTTCTCTGCTCTGCTTGGCTTCCTTCCTGCTACTGTTGCATATAGAATTTGTCGCAGAATCTGCCTCCCTGGGAACCTAACCTATGAGAAGTGTACATGCTAAATTTTGTTTATTAATGTCATAGAGATTTGCACGCTGAGGAACTCTGCCTGTGGAAGCAGGGGTGTTCTTTTAATTCTGCAAAACCAACAAGGTACAGACCAGGATAAAGAAGCTAAGGTTTTAATAAAATGGGAATGAGGTTGATATGAGCCAGTTACATATGAGATGCAGTTTCAGTTTCTGAACAAAAACAAGAAATACATAAAAGGTTAGCACAGCCAGTGAAACTGAAAGCTGAGCAGCCGGAGTGGGGGATGAAAGAGAGAAATGTCTCAGAGAACAAGAATGGCCTTGAGGAGGTAAAACAGACCAAACGCAATGGATACACCCAGCCAAAAGTCTCGGGACAGAATCATCCTATCTGAAGGAGGAGCTCCACTTCAAGAAATTACCTCCAAGCTGAAAGGGTATGGCCCATCCTGCCGCTGGTAATTCCAACTTAGTAAGCTTAGTGCTACTACAGACTGCACAGGGAGAGTCCCCTGCTGCTGCCACTAAGCAGGGTCTTTACTGAAAACTTCCCCAACATTGCTAACAGGCAGAGACACGCTCGGGTTCTCCAACCAGAAGGCAGACCTGCACCCTGGAGAAAGCGGGAAATGATGCTCTTGTGCCCAGCTGATGGCATTTGGTCATCTACTCTGCTGGGCTGTGACCTTCAAAGGAGTCAGTTTGGTAGGGATAGGTAAGCAGGGATTGACAGAAATTGAAAAGAAGTTGGTTAGCAAAGCATCACTGAGAATATAAAGCCTGGTAAAGATCAAAAATAGATGAGGGAGTTATTTGATAGTTATCTGAAGCAGGAGGGGCTATGTAGAGAGAAAAGAGAGTGCTATGGACAGGACTGAACTGATGCCCAAATTTCTCTGGCGAGGAGGTCAGTGTGGCGGCTGGGAAGAAGCAGAGGGTTTGAGGTCAGGGAGATGGGGCAGGATCATGTAGCGCTCTGGACTTCAACCTGGAGAAGATAATAAGCTGCAGGGACATCCCTGGGGAGAGTGACGTGATCTGACACTCCTACTTCTTTCCTCAGAACTCATTTTCTCCACAGTACGTCTCACCATCTGACAACTTATGTACTGTATGTATTTACTGTCTACTCGTTAGAATGTAAGCTCTGTGAGGATAGTGTCTATTGTGTTCACTGGAGTCATTCATTCCTCCAGTGACATCTAGAAAGCAGCTAATCAACATTTATTGAACGAATCAACAGATCTTGTAGAGAAAAACTGGATGAACTCTTTCCCAAATGGCAATATGAAACCAGACAGAGTGTTTCTACATCCTTACCAGATATGTGTTTAAATCACTGTTGTGGGGCCACAGCCACAAATATTTAATGTCTCTTTCAGGCACTTATAAGAGGTCCTAAAGCCAAGTATGTTTTTAATTTCTAAAAGCTGGATGCCAAGGTTCAGAGGGAAAAAAACCACAGAAACATCAGTGACTTGGGAGGCTTCATGTTTATGGTATTCATTAATTGAACATATACTGACCAACAATGTGTTTTAAAGGTTCAACATTGAGGTTGCAAATGGACAGGATTTCAGAGCTGCCGCCTTTCTGTGGGGGACTGGCTCATCATTCCTAAGGCAGGAGGGAAGAAAAAGGGAAAGGAGGAAAGCAAATACAAAGTATGTCTTCGCCCTCCTATCAGAATGAGGCCCTCCTTGATGTAGGTGGGCCTGGGGTTTCCTCTGGTTGCAAAGAAGTTTGTATTTATTGGTAAAATGCAAAGTGTTGTTTTTCTCTATAAAAGCTTCCAATACACCAAAAGTTTGTCACCTTGAATACTTTATTTTAAATCAGTTTGGATGCCTTTTCAAGACACTGACATTTAAAGATCAATCCAAGGATTCAAAATGTAACTAAAATGATAGTACGGTTCAGTGGGGAAAAACAAGTAGAAAAAAACATTACTCAAATGTAACTGAAAAAAATAAAAATGATTGATACTGGAAGGGAAAAAAAGAGACAATGTGTGTGTGGTGGTGAGAGGCGGGGAGGGAGAGGAGCACACTGCCCAATCCTGCTTCCCTCTGGAAGCAAGAATCTTACTCATGCGCCACTGTGATAAATTAAAACCTGGTGGTCAACTTAACCCCAGCTGAATTAAATCAGCATGGTGCTGAGGGTAGATGGCCCACCTGAGGCAGGTTGCTGGCATAAACAGAGACATGGAGAAGGAGAAGCTAGGCTTTGTGGGTTCTCCTAAATGTTGCTAATTTGAGCTGGAAGCTCATCATGACTAGCTTCCCCAGTGTGAGTTCGACCGTTGTCTTCAGAGGAGCTTGGGACCTTGTTGGTGAGAGTGGCTGTGGTGCACTTTGGGGGGCCTATGGTCCTTACACTGAACATCACTTCCTGACTCCAGAGGGGAAGATGCCTGCTGTTTAATCTCCAGGAGAAACTTGTCACGCTGGCTTCCTGGCATGTACTCAACTGTTCTCATCATTAGAGGAGCTTGGGACCTCCTTGTCACTGATGGATGTAATACTTTTTAGGGCAGCCCTGGTTTTTATTTTGTGTGTGACTTCTTGGCTCCAGCGCAGAACCCTCAACCTATCAGTACAGCTCTTCCATCCCACTGGCATAGACTTTTTAGCTTCCACCACTGACCTTTAGGCCTTCCCAGCACGGATCCATAAAACATACTGACATCAGTCCTTCGTGTGGGCTCTAGACCTCCAGTTGGACTCATGGGAGGAATTGTCACGGGCTCTAAGTTTTCAGCTGCACTCATGCAGGGCCTTGCTGTGGGATCCAGACCCTTGCCCAAATATTCTGGGTCTTTAGTGTTGTGGACACATTTCTGCACTTTTTTGTTTAGGTGACCAATTCTGTGTCCTGGTTGTAATTGTTCTCCCCACAACCCCTGACTACAACATCCACCATTAATCCATTCACCCTCAATTTAGAAGTTCTTTGTGAGTGTATGCCAGTCACTTAAGCTTAAGGAGTTTCAATTGTTTCTTTGTAAAAAAAAAAAAAAAAGTGGCCACTAACAAATCATACCAGCTGGGGTGAAATAATATAATACATGTATAATAGCATGATGCCCAAACTACTACAAGCCGTCAAAAAATATAAGTAGTCTTTTGATGATTACACTGCCTGTGAAGCTCCTATTTGCCAGAAATAGATGTTGATGTTGTCACCCTTGGAAAATAATAAATCATAGAGGCCACAGAGGAAAGGGTGCATCCGAAGAGACCAGGTATCACAGACCAGACATCAGATACGTGAGGGAGCCTTCAATGCTTCCAGTCCCAAGACATGGCGTCCTCTATTATGCCACATGGAGCAGAGATCAGTCACACAGCCCACTGATGCCACCTTCCTGACTCAAGACACTATGGGAGAAACCACATGATTAGCATTGTTTTAAATTCTTAATATTGAGGTGGTTTGTCACTCAGCATCAGATAACCAGAGCACTATGATTAACTGAATTCACTGTCCACTTCTAACACAGAAACCAAATCATGGTATTCTCTTCTTCACAAAACGTGTGAGAGGCTCTCCGTTATGCACAGGATGACAAGCCTGGGAGATCCTTGACAGACAGAGCAGCGGGAAGGAGCTGCAGCTTGTCTTTCAGTGATTCTCGGCACCTCAACAGGTCCTCACTCAGCTCGTGACTACAGTGGCTGGGGTCAACCAGACACTGCGGAAAAACTGAACAAATACGAATTACAAAAACTGTATAGTTAACAAGTACGGACCTTGCTCCTTTCAGGGGTGCTGGGCATAGCACTCTCAAGTCACACTTATGAAATTAATTGTGCCTGTGTATGCATACATGCTTGCAAGCGGTGTATGTAGCAGTAGAAATAGATAAAAAACAAACATAGAAGTACACAGACAAATCACATTTGCCATTCTCAAATAATGAAAAATAGGAAGGAGGTGAGCGAGTCTCTGTGTTGAGAATGGGATAGGATAATTGGTTAGAGTAGCCAGGAAGTCTGCAGATGTAACATTTCTGCTGAAACCTGCATGATTGTGAAACCATGGAAAGACCTCTGAGAAGAAAAGTTAGAAAGATACAATAAGTGCAAAGGCCCTGGAGCTTAAAAGGCCAAGAAACTACTCTGAATTTCCATGTAACTGTGGAGCAGCTATTTCAATGTATTTGCATGTGTTTTTGGCTTAGAATTATCTAAGACAAAATTTCAAACTTCATAAACTAAAACTCAGGTGTAGTTATGGCGTATTATAAGAAATTTTAGAAGAAGTTTTAGGGTGTTTTCTAATTAATATCTTCCAGTATTGGACACTTTGATCCCTTCACAAATGGCTCTCAGTGCAGCTGTTCCCTCTGATCCTTGGGATGATTTCTTACTCCAGCTGCACCCTCATCTCTTGCTTTCCACTCTGGGCCTACTCTCTCACTACTATGCGGTATATCAGGATGGGTCCACTGAGCCATTTGGACAGATGGACAGTCCTGTGATAAACCCATCATCCCATCAGGCAACACCTAACCAGTGGTCGACAGAAGCAAACACTCCCAGCATGATTCTGTGTATTATGCAATCTGAAGCACATTCATGGCGGGTCCCCTGGGAGGGTGAGTCCCAGTGTCCATGATGGTGGCTAATGTGATGAACAAACACTGGACTGGGCTTTTCTTTCTTTCCCTGCTAACTCTTTCAGTCTCTTGCTCTTAGGGGTTACTCCTCAAAATAAAAATCACCCATAAGCCCTTGTCCAGGCTTTGCCACTTTAAAGATGCAGCATTTAAATACGTAAGACAGTATTATACATATATATATATATAAATTTAATACTTAGAAAAGTAAGAATTATATTAACTTAAGACTATTGTTCACCCTATAAGCCAACCTATCTTCTAAGAAAGAACAAGAAGGTACTATTTTTTCCTCAATTCACTCTACATTTCCTTTGATACTTGGCCTTTTTGGGGGTAGGATGGGGCACCAATAATAGAGGCTTTCTCAAAGGGTATGGTGGTATTTACTTTGTAAAATCCATGAACACAAACATCTAATGGTCTTTTATTGTTGCTAGGCAACCCACTATGTGTCCCTAGTTGGTTAATCTCCCAATTTTCCCAATGGACTGTTTTTCATTTTTCCCTTATGCCCCCTAAACCACCTTACTGATCCTCACTCTGTTGATTCCTATTCTAGTGAGAAAATGGAAGTATCAGAACATCCTACACGTTCCCAATGCCATCAACCCATCCTCTACTGTATGCCTTCTTGATGGGTACCCTACCTACGCCCCACATCTCATTCCTATCATCCTGTATCAGGGTATTTGCCCAGAAATTCTTCCCTTGCTCTTATATCAACTGTTTCTTCCAACTGGCATACAAACATACCCAGTGCTATCTTCTTTGAGAAGTAGCAGGTCGAGATAGTATCTCATTCCAGGCAGTCCTGAAACGCTCAGAGATCCTCCTGCCTCACCCTCCTCAGTGCTGGGATTATAGGCATGCACCACCACCTGCCCCACTTCTGATATTATTTTAAAAAATAAAAACAAGAGCCAGGCATGGTAGCTCACGCCTTTAATCCCAGTACTCGGGAGGCTGAGGCAGAAGGATGCTTGTGAGTTCGAGACCAGCCTGGGCTACAGAGTGAGCTCAAGGCCAGTCTGAACTGCATAACGAGACCCTGTCTCAAAAATACAAAATAAATAAATAAATAAATAAAA